TTATACTCATCCTTAGTCTCTACTTGGAGTGGGGGACTGTATTAGAATTATTTAATGTCTAATATTATAGTATAATAGTCGGCTCATAGATAATTAATTATTCAATTTAAGGAGATTGAAATTTGTGATTTTCTATCTTTGTCTTACACATGCGAGGTAGAAATTTAGATGTATTCTATTTCCAATGTACCAATTGATCTAGTAAAGCAATAAGAAATTTGATTTTATCCCCTAAATCATAAAAAAAGCCATAATAAAAAGTAGGTAATTAAAGAAATGGAATATTTACATTTTTGGAGAAATTAAAATAGTGGGAAAGTCTATCTCAAGTAAAATTGATAAAAAATTAAAATTCTCTTTTAGAATTATTATTGCTTCACTTCATCAAAAGGTATGTTGCAAATAGAATATGTGTAAAATGTTTATATGGTAATTTAAATTTTTAGTGAAAAATAGATGTGGGTATCAGCCATTTAAATATAACTAGGACCCCCAAACAAGTGTTCTATTTTCACTCAAAAATTATTTCAGCCTTTAGTTAACATATTAAATAATAAAATAATAAATAAAAAAAAAATTATTAAATGGATATACTGGTAAATAAATATAGAAATAAAAAATAATTAAATTAATGAATATGTGCGTAATATGATACTCCATTCATTTATTTTATTTATATATATATATATTTTTTTAATATATTCAACTACAAATTTGAGATTCTGAGCAGAGCAATTAATACATTGGTTGTATAATGTTTATTATTATTATTATTTTTTTAATCTGAACAACTTTTCTACGAGTAATTGTGCTCCGATTTTCAATTATAGCACTTTTTCTGAAAGGAAGTCTGACCAGGATGGTACTTTAGGGAAGTAAATTTTTTGATTTTCCCAGGTGTTTTCATAATAAATAGGAAAACTGTAGGGGAAATAGGTACAATATTAAATAAATATTATTAAAGAAAATATCTTTTGCATATGTAATTATTTTACCATAACATAACATTTATAATATATAAATATATATAATTGTTGGGTACAGATATACATTAAGTTTCCCCTCTATCTTCCCAACTTCTCAACTACAACAGTGGCCCACCCATATAAAAATATAGAAATATAGAAATACAGAGTGTCTAGATGTCTCTGTAGTATACAGACTTCCCACGAAGATATACCCCTTGAATATACCCGGAGTTAATATAGATAATCAAATTCTGTTATTTTTATATTAATTGTGGGGATATTTAAGTTTTAATTAAAAAATTACTTTATTTTATATTTTCGGAAAATTTGAAGATGGCCATTTTGTAGAGTTTATTATTCTGAACATTTTGACGTTTCATCTTATTATTTTTATTTACTAACTTACTTACTTACTAACTGATTTTTAATAATGTTTTTAAGTCCAGAGAAAAAACGTGTACAGTCAAATAGCTATAATAATAATAATAATAATAATCAATTAGCAGTAATCATTATATTGCATGACCGATGTTCGGATAATATCAAACATTCTATGCTGATTAGATATTAATTAGGTATAAACTATAGTACTGTAGTCTATACTGTATAGCATATACATCTCGATGTTTTAATGGTGATTCAACGAACAATTCATGAAACCCGATCGTGTTAACGGAATATTATCGTTTTCGGACAATTAGTGCCTACTACTAAACTATAAGTAGGTAGTAGATATCAGGGGGGTTTATGTAATTGTTACCACAAAACCGCATGACAATAACTTTTTTCGAACGTATTCTCTTTGACCCAACGTACCATGGTTTTTTTTTTTTTTTTTTGTTGCCGTATTAATGATAATTGAAAATACGTTAATCAGAGTTTTGGACCGTTGTGAAATTTCTACTTAGTACTTATTTTGAATTATTTTGGCCGTTAAAATACTTGTTGCGTAAATACTTTAAATGGCTAAATGTATTTGTGAGTTCCAAGGGAAAATCATAACGAACACAATTTTATTAAAAATATCGTTGAAATTACAACTATCATAATATAGTGAGTTATTATAATTATATATTTAATCATTACTACTTATACTTTCACATATAATTTTTCATAAAATATTTTAGTTAAATAGAAACAAAATAATTTAAATTATCAAAATATATTTTTAAAATTTAAAATTATTTGAAAAGAAAAAGTGACCAATTAAAAGATGATACAACAATGGAAGATTTTATTTTAATTTGGTTATTAAAATTACATTTTTGACACACTCTTGTTCTTTAATTTATGTTAATCTTCTTTATACTTTATACATTTTTATTTTATTAATTTCCATTTTGATGGTTAACTTAATTGGATGTCAACATTAAAACATTGGGTCAAAATAATTATTTTCAATTATATGCAGTTTATTGCATAATCAATGCTTATTGGTACTTAGCTCTTACAATAATGTGTTATTACACCTGATTCATCTGAAGACTAATTGTACTCGGTTCATCTCAAATACAACACACCATACCTATTAAATCAAATGTTTGATTTAAAAAAAAAAAAATAACTAGGTTAACAAATAAATAATATTCTTAAGTATAAGTTCTATTGATATAGCGGAATCATAGTATTTTATTAGGTATGTTGACTTAATTTTTGAGAAAAAAAAACTAAAGAAATAATATTAAATTAATGTATTAAAATTGTTGAAATTAATTTCACATTTTTCATGTAGGTATTAAGTTCGGAATAGGAATTAAATAAAATAATGGTTCTTCTTATTATTTTTTTTTTATGATTCATTAATAAATATGATACTCATAAACAAAAAAGTTTGTGATTTTTCACATTTTTTTTTTGCTTTTTATTAGAATGTCTGTTAATGAAATTCTTGTTATAAATTTAAGTCATGATTTTAATCATGAAATTTATGTCATGATCACATAATTTTCCTTTTAATTTTTTACCATATTTGTGCCATATGTGACATTTAATTTCATTCTGATGGTTAAATTGTTGGAAGCATTTATCATATTATCGTATTATACATAAATACTCTGCTAGTTACATATTATAGTCAACCGTTACATATTATTATAATAATATTTATCATTTGTCTTGATCATTTAGACCAGTGGTCTTCAACTTTTTTGGATTCACGACACACTTATTAGGCATACATTATTTGCGGCCCACATAAGGCATACATAAAAAAAAACGTTTGTAGAAAACATAAACAAAAAAAACATAAAAAACTAAAATTACATAATACTTTGTAGTAGTACTTTTATTACTGAATAAATAAAAATAAAAAAAAACATTTTGACGGATACGTAAATATGACCAGAATAATAAAGCGACTAACATTTATTCATCTTTAAACACAGCGACAACATCGACAATATTCTTAGATTATGGAACTCTTTATTATATAATATTGTTTATACATTATATATTACAATAATTTTCAAACTGTATTTATAAATTGTCTAAGTTTAATAATTAAACAATTATTTTTATACCTTATATAATTGTATAAACTTAATTTTTATTTTAAAAAGAAAACTTATCGCGACCCATCGGTTGAAGACCACTGATTTAGACAACAAATGTTAACTCAAATTATTGTGTATACATTTTTATTTTGTTATTCTTGAACAAGTAGTTGCATTATCAGAAATTTCTATAAATGCACACCCTTCTAGTTATGATATTTATTTTATATTATTTTATATTTTGAATGAGCAAAGAAGTTTATAGTTTTATAATAAGATATTTTTTTTTTTATCTGTGCGCAAGTTTTCTACCAGAAGACTTGCTCAGATTTTTAAATGTAGCATTTTTATTGTAAGGAAATCAGTGTGGGAAAATACTTAAGGAAGTCATTTTTCGATTTTCTTTCTCAAGAATTTTCTCATCAAATTTGAAAAACTTAAAAAAAGACTGAAACATGTACAAAATATAAGTGATATATAAGTGATGTTACAAACTTTATAAAGTTTACTATTATATGTACCTATTTAATTTAAACTCAAATTTATAAGTTTATAAAAGTTTTTAACTAAAAAATGTTTTGTAATTTTTGTGTTATATATGATGAAGATAAATATAATATTAAAAATTTGCCAAAACTTAGAAAAAAAGAGTATTTCAAAATCTAATGCAGGATTTAGAAATGTGGGATGATAAAGAATTTTTTATGAAATTTAGACTAAAAAAAACAAGTCATAGAACTTTTATCTAAAATTTTATTTTATTTAAAGTCAAAAATGAACAGGTGAGTAATTTATTAATGTAAATCAAAAAAAAAAAAAAATAGTCCAATATTTAAAATGTCCATATATAGAACAGGAAGTTCAAAAATAGTTTAAAAATCATTGATATTTCGTAAATATTCCTGAATTTTTTTCGCAGTTTTAGATTTTTTAATACCAACATTGGGGGATCAAAAGTAAAAAAATCCTAGTATTATTATTAGTAATTCATAACATAAATATCATTTGTAGAACACATTAGGTATCAATGAGATAAATGTTTTGAACAACGTTAGATGGTAATCTCATACTTTATTTATAGGTGGTAGAACCGGCCCTGGGTCGGCTATCTAGTTGTTTTATATATCTATTGTCCCGAGAAGTATGTATTAAGAGGTATTTACCACTAGATCGCGTAACAATCTTTTGGCTCTAACCAAAATGATAATATAGGTAGGTAGGTACCTACCTATATTAGTGTTTTGTCTGTGCCGTGCCGGGCTTACAAGATCATATTTTAGTTATGGACGCGGGTCGAATAAGAAGTGTACTTATCAAATTTTATATGAATTTCACAAATCTATTAATAACTTTATTATTTCCAATAAGTATTAGCTAGTAGATTAGGTATTGAGTTGTCAGTTCACTTCATAAATTCTTAATGTGGATTATATTTCATTTATCGTTTTTGTTTTCGACGTTTTTATGCTGTTACCTGTTCTTAAATATAACTGATGATTATAGTGAGTGGTGGAAATCTAAAAAAAATATTTTACCGACAATGGCTAAATTGGCAATGAGGATTCTTTCTAAAAGTGTTGCAAGTAAAGGGGCATTCGCTTCAGCAGGTAGAGTGATCGAAAAAAGAAGATCATGCTTGAAAGCAGAAACTATTGATGCATTATTATTTTCAAGAGATTATCAGAAATAAATGTAAATAAATATTTGTAATCCATTGTAATATTTTTTATTAAGATGAACTGGGCCGGGACGGGCTTGGGATTTAAAAATCACGCGCAGGGCACTAATACCTACCCAAGATCTATCTCAAAAGATATTCTTTATCATTTTGATACCTACCTTTATCGCCTTATCAAAAACCCTACTATAGTACTGTAGGTAGTAGCAAATGCAATGAAAAGTATTCGAAGGGACTTGAATAATTCGATAGTTATTCGTTATCGTCCATCACTAACTTCTGCACCAGTCGCCTTTATTGAACCGCCACCGGCGGTGTGTTATTAAAATGCATAGGTAATGCGAGTACGTACGTTAATAGGTACTCTATAATATATTGCGGTGTATCAAACAATTGTCTCGTGCAACTTGCGTGGAAAAAATGAAATAGTTTAATTTTGTTTTTCATAATAAAATAAAATAAAATAATTTTAGGAAAATGACAGGTGAGGCAGCGCCTTACTTGCCTCACTGCCAAAAAAAATCGCCACTGGCCAAGATAGTTAGATAGATAGTTTTTTTTTTTTTTTTTAAAAAATTTTAGTTATGGTATTTTTATTTCTGTTAATATATTTTAGATTCTGAGTTTGACGAAGAATGTTTTACAAAGATGTTTATTATTTTTTATGTGAAACACTTTTAGCAAAAATCTTACTCCGATTATCAAGTATAGCAGCTTTTCTGAAAGCTTTTCGGTAGCAATGGTTTATCGTTACTTACAGATATACATTCAATTATCGTCTTTATCTCACATTCCCATTTACAGCAGTGACTGCATTTATGTGCGAAGTATGTCTGTCCTTTTTTTTTGTTTTTAATTTTTTGTTAATTTCATCAGTGTCACTGAGGTAGTCCATAATTTAAAAAAAGTAATTTAATTTTTGTACCAAAAATGCCTAAAAAACCTTTCATTCTTTTATTTACGTAACAAAAAGTGGCCCATATTTTTCTCCAAGGTTCCATCTTTATACTAAAAGATATCAAAATTAGTTTAATGGTTTAGATATGAAAATGTAACAGACAGACTTATTTTAACATTTTTAATATTAGTTAGGATAAGGATTAGGATAGATAGATTTCCGTTAGAAAAATTTTAATGTTGTTAAATTTGAAATAATATTGCATTCTAATTTTTTTTTTCTTCCAATGTGTTTGGAGAAAGAGTACCTATAAAATATGTAAAAATACGTATAAAAATGGCTGAATAAATTGATAACACGGGTGTATTTTTACTCCTTGTAATAACTGTAATATATTACACAATATATTATTAATATTACACAATAACAGAATCTTGTATTCCCACATTTGTGGTCTGTGGTCATAACTAGGGCCCGGATTTATAAGCTCTATAAACCTTAGAAATATGCACTATAAAATATGCTCTTATTTTGTAGAATATATTCTTCAAAATAAAATGTATGCACAAAAAAAAAAATTGATTTTTAAATACATTTTGTTTAAAATTTTTGTTATTTCTGGTCTTTATTTTTAAATTAGATATAAATAATGTAATGGTATTTTCGACATTTTTCAATCTGGAAATACATAAAATATTTTTATTATTTTCATCATTATTTTAAAACTTATAATATAAATATAACCAAAATATTACATATTATGTAGTGCATGTTGAAAAGGTGTGATCTACCACTTGCTGTCATATTATAAATATATTAAAATTAAAATTTGTAAATATATTTAAATAATTAAAATTAAGTATTATACCAATATTATTAGTATAATGTTTAGTTTATAACTACAATTTTGTTCAACTCTGGATCATCTTTAGGTAAATTCCATAAGTGGAGTGACAAAATTTAAAATAAATATTTAATAATAATAATAATAATAATAATAAAAGTTAAGAATTTAAATATTGATTTTACCAGTAACTTACATAAAATTATCTTATCATTTTAGTTACAATGCGATCAAATGTTTCAACTCCTAAGATTTCAAATATTATGGTATTTAAACCTACATGGGATGAATTTAAAGACTTTAATAAGTATATTCAATTCATGGAATCTAAAAGAGCCCATCATGCAGGAATAGCAAAGGTAAACATTTTGTATAAACATGTTTTTCACTTATCACACATTATATTTATATATAAGTATTTTGTATCTGTTGTATTTATAATTTAAAATATTTTAATATTTTAAATCTTTTTGTTTATTTGATTATCATTGTTATTTTTAGATTATACCACCTATAGAATGGAAACCAAGAAAACAGAGCTATGACATTTTGGATATACAAATTCCACAGCCTATAATTCAAGTAAATAATTAAAAATTCTAGTTTTTTTAATTGAACTATCTATATTAATTATGTTGTTTATTCTAGAAAATTATTGGGAAAGGAGGATCATTTAATCTAAATCCTTCAAAAACAGATGCCATGTCTTTAACCGATTTCAAACGTTTATCAGAAACTGATAAATACAAAACACCAGACCACTTTGATTATAATGACCTTGAAAGAATATTTTGGAAGACATTCATCTACAATCCTCCAATTTTCGGAACAGATGTTTCTAGATCATTGTTTGATGATGATTGTGAAGTATGTTGGAAAACAATTAGAAATAGCTTAGAATTAATAATGTATATAATTAATTTTTTTCTCTAAACAAGATTTGGAATATGAACAAACTGGGTTCAATCCTTGACTATCTGGTTGATGATTCTGGTGTTAAAATCGATGGTGTTAATACTCCATATTTGTATGCGGGCATGTGGAAATCGGTATATGCGTGGTCTACTGAAGATATGGACTTGTATAGTATAAACTATATCCATCATGGAAGTCCAAGACAATGGTTTACATAATTTTTTCTATAGTATTCAATAAGAAATATATTTATAGCATACTCATTCAGGCTATTCTTAATTTCAGGTATGCAATTCCACCAAAGTATGGTGGTCAATTTGAAAGATTAATGGAAACCATGTTCTCAGAGAATTATAGATTGTGTTCAGCGTTCATCAGACATAAAATGTGTATTGTAACTCCTAATACATTGAATAATTCTTCAATACCATGGAACAAAGTAAGAGGCTAGATATTAATATAATTTTGTTTGTGGTGTGGTATACAGGGTGTTCCATTTAAGTGGGTATACCCATATTTTCGGAATGTATTTACTTTTTTACAATTTGCTTTATAGAACATTTAAGAAACAAGTAGCTCTACAATTTTACATTTTACATGTTATTTTTTGTCAAACCACTACTTACTTTTTATTTTCAAATAGCAACCTATATTTAAAATGCCATAAGTAGATGGAATATTAGCTAAAATAAATTTTGGTGCTAAAATTGGTGCCATACAAATGATCCTCCACTACTCTACGACCTAAATGAAACTCCCCACTGACTCAAACTAAGAAGTGGAATCTTGTTAAAGGGTTGATAGAAATCAAAAATTTTAACACCAAAATGTATTTTAACTAAAACTCCATCTATTTATGGAATTATTTCAGTTTGCAATTAGAAAATCAAAAGTAGACGAGAGGTTTATAATCAAAAATAAAAGTGACAAAAAATAACATAAATAAAAAGTTATAGAGCTGTTTGTTTCTTAAATGTTCTACAAAATAAATTCTAAAAAAGTTAATACTTCCAATAATGAGTGTAACCACTTAAATGGATGGAACACTGTGCACTATTTTAAGTATTATTAATATTAGTACTACTAATAAAGTTGTTATATATATGTATTTATTAGCAAAATTATTTAAAACAAATATACAAAACAAAGTGGTTTCTACCCATTTTTAGGCTACCCTGCTGCATAGAATATTAAACAATACATAATATCATAAACATTAGTATATTTATTTGTTTCAGATAGTTCAAGAGCCAGGGGAAATCATTATTACTTTTCCATATGGTTACCATTGTGGTTTTAACCATGGATTTAATCTTACAGAGTCAACTAATTTTGCTACAACGCGTTGGGTAGAATATGGTAAAAGGACGAAACAGTGTAAATGTCGAAGTGACATGGTAAATTTCAGTATGGAAACATTTGTGAGAAAGTTTCAACCTGAAAAGTATGAACAGTGGATCCAAGGAAAAGACTTTGGATATCACCCAGAAGAATCAAAATTTGCTAAACCACCTCGTCCAGTGGGACCATCTAAACTATTACAGATAAACAGGTTTTTTTAAAAATAATTTTATTTTTATTTTTTTGCCATACAAAATGTTAACTTTAATTAAAATTTCCAGAAAATAAAACTTTTTCAAGAAATGGATAAAAAAAACTAATAAAATAAAGTCTGATGTGACTGAAGTATGAAAATTAATTTAGTATGTATTTTTTTAGATTATATAAGATATAAATATTTAATTTAATTTTACTATTGTTTTTCTCATCAAATTTAATATTGAATCTTCTTACATACCAATCATCACATTTTTGTAATCGAATTATTTTGTCCACAATTTAACAAGGAATATTTATTTGTATTTTGATTATTACTAGAGGAAATAACTTTCAGAAAATAAACTACATTTTACATATGAGCAAAATTTGTTTTCTTAATCTTAATTACAGACACACACAAAAAAAAAAGCCACACATAATAAAACCAATAGACCCTTTGCTGAATCTAAATGTATTACAATTTTTAATAAATACCTTTAATCTATTCATTGTTATTTTTAAAGTTTCTTCAGCTTATTACAGTGTATATGTTCTCATGTTTACGTACAATGTGTCCCACCATGGATTTTTCTAGTGCTATTAATATTAAATTTTTTCGTATATATTTGTATATATTAACTGTACATTTTTACTGTTTTTTTGCTAAATAAATATGAATTCCCATTTAGCAAAATATTATTTTAGAAAATTTTATTTTAATATTTATAGAATTGATTCAATATTTAAATAAAAAAAGATAATTGTGTAGGTTTATGGTTTCAAAACATTTTCACTAAAAAGTTATTTTTAAATGTTAGTCTTCTTGATTTATTTTTTTTATTATTAATCTTCAACCTTTTCCCTTGTCCCAAATTGTTTTTATCATTTTCAAATTCCAACAAAAATATCTGCATTTCTGTAGCAACAGATGTTTCATATGCATCTATAGACTATTGAAGGTATTATAATATTTAGTTATAGTAAATATATGTGCCCATTAAAATAACCATAAAATAATTAAAAACTTAACCAAATTTTTCTATTATTCTTACTAGATATAACTTCCATTTTTTTGAAGTTTTGTCACCATCAATTAAAATGAATGTTAACTATTTTATGTGATGGCCATTTAAAAAAAAACTAGTAATACCATTAACTGTTTTGTACTTAAGCTGAAATGACAATATTTATGATCTTCTTTAATATATCCAATGAACATACTTGTAAAACAATAATGACATACTTTGCACAATAGATGGACCACTGTTATAGGTGAGAAGTTGGGAAAGTAGGATATAGAGGGGAATTTATTGTATATCTGTACCATAGATATCCAGCATGTTGGTAGTGGCCTGAAGCTAAAAAAAAAAAAAATAGTGTATAACTATATGTATAAATAAATAGCCATTAAACATAGTAACCGGAAATGGACTTGTACCATTGAAAAACAGTGCTAATTTTTGTTAATCCATTGGCCAACTCTACAGAGCAGATAATACATGTTTATATAAACATATAAAGTCATATAAGGTATCAATTGATCAGAAATATTGCGCAGACGGGAACATGGGAACTCTCAAGCCAATTGGTTAAATGAATTGAAAGTTACAACCAAAATTGTTCAAAAACTTTCAAGTTCGATTTTTCGTATTCAACGAAAATATCGTAAAATTCTTGTTGCTGACAACAACGCCGGACCATCTGTAAGGTAGAAAGGTGTTTAAATTATAGTTTTAAAAAAAATAAAATAATTACAAATAAAAAAGTAAGATCTAACAACAGGAGGCCAGCGATGCTAGCTAGATTATTATTATTAGGTATAATAAATAATAACTAAAATCAATATATATAAAAAAAAAAAAAATGATCAAAATTCATCTTCAGGTTTAACAAAAAAGGTTTATATATAAAAAAAAAAAAAAAAAAAATAGCTGGCAAAATATTTCCCCGGAATACCTCATATTAATTTTACATTTTAAAAATTAATTTCTCATGCTAATACAATAATAAACACATTTCAATAATAATACGGATTACGGTGTATTACGATAATAATATTTACTTTAATATTATTAAAATACGCACAACACATTTGTAAATTTATTAGCCAGAATTAGGTACTCCTGTAAACAGTATAGGTATCGTACTTTTGTCTGTGAACTTTTTAACTCTATACTTACATATTTTATTTTATTGCAAAAATGTCGAGGAGGAAATGTTCTTATTTTATTTGTACAGATATATATGAGAATACGAACAAAATGTTTCATAAATACCCTTCTAATGTTAATTTGTTAAAAACATGGATAATTTATTCCAGTAAGTGCATAATATTTTATTTTTCATCATAATTTATAGTAATTTAATATTTAGAATGAATAATTTTTTAATTAAAAAAGAACCGATATAATTCGCACACGGTGCAGCCATTGTTGTAGATCTTAAGTTGGAAATGTAGGCAACAGACGGGAATTTAATGTATATCTGTAAGCAACAATAAACCATTGTTAACGAAAAAACGATTCTGAGTCGAGTTCAGTTGATAATATTGCTTTGTCAACAATATAATAGGTTTGTTCCGGCGCATGCGCAAATTCATAAACGCTTTCTAGCAGAGCAAATTATTTACTTTTAACAAAATGTTATCTATTCCATCAGCGCTGCAACATGTTATTAAGTTATTGGCAAGTATAATTTTCTGTTGCGTGTTGTACTGCCAGTCAGAAGTTTCGTGCATGCTTACAACGCGAACTTATGTATGATTCTAGATTACAACAGTCAGTTGATGACACTCGTGATAAAGATAACCAAGATTTTGCGTACACGTACAACGTGAAATTCTTATTTATTTAAAATTGGACATTACATACATTTGGAATTTTTTGACTCCTCGTTCTCTTCATAATCGTCTGGCGGTGCCTTTTTATTAGATAGCGATGACGAAGCATATTTAGAAGATAGAAAAAGACCAAAAAAGGACGTCCTAGGATAATGGAAACGGGTGCAGCTACTGTTACTAACCAAAAAAAGGTTCAGTTGATAGTGATGCTTTGTCAACAATATATAAATGTCATATTATGGTAAAATAATTAAATAGGTATTATATATTTTATTTAATAATATTTGTTTAATATTGTACCGATTTTCCCGGTTTTTCACATTTGCTGGGAAAACTCTTGATCAAATTGAAAAATGGCCTATCTTAAGTACCTTCCCAGTCAGATTTTCTTTCAGAAAAAGTGCTTCTATTTTAAAACTGAATGAAATTGCTGGTGGCAAAGTTATACACACAAAAAAAAAAATAAACATCATTTTAAAACCAATACATTTCTCGTTCCACTCAGAATCTAATATTATAATTTATTATAGATTTCAATTCTATACAATTGTGTTTATTTTTAGATTCAGAGTGTAGCAATGAATTTACCTATTAGTTTTATCAATGATCTTTTTTTTTTTACGTACCTTACACTGGCATTCTACTGGTTATTATTATTTTTTTTATTTTCCAAGCGGTTTTCATAATAATTGTGAAAAACCGAGAAAAAACATAGTAATACACTTACAAATATTTACGGCACGCTGCGCGCTGTGTAACAATTTCATGATTTTACATTTTTGTAACTTATGTTTTCTACTAGAATCTTGTTTAAATTAAAAAATAATAAAATACTTAATTGTTTCGTTTAATATATAGCCGCTGAGAAAGAAAGTCATCTTTTAATAACCAATGTAGTTTTTATAATAGTTGGAAAACATGAAAAAGATGATTTTTTTTCCAAATTACAGCGCAATGATTTCATTATTTTAAATTTTAATATTTTATTTTTCTACTAAAAATCTGTTCAAATTGGAAGAATAACATATTTTCTAAAAAAAAAAAATGTTGTCTAGTTTGTGAGTTCGTTATTTTATTTAGGAATTTTTTCCTAGACCTGTTTTAGTTAAATTTCTTATATTTTCCCGTTTTTTTCGGTTTTTCAAATTTGATGAGAAAACATCTGAGAAAATCGAAAAATGATCATCATGTACTACCCTACACCGATTTTCTTTCAGAAAAAGTGCTACACTTAGAAATCTGTGCAAGTCTTCTGGTAGAAAAGTTGTTCATAGATAAAAAAAAAAAAATTAATATTTTTGTAAAATCATAAAAGCTTCTTCGCTCCACTGAGATTCTAAAATATACATATTGTTGTAAATAGCATAACTATATCAACTGAACTCTGCTCAGAATCGGTTTTTCGTTAACAATGGTTTATCGTTGCTTGCAGTTACAAATCAATTTCCCCTATACATCCTACATTCTCAACTTCTCATCAACAAAAGTGGCTGTACCCGAAGTATGTCCGTCTATTTTTATTTTATGTCGCTATGAATTTTTTTTTAATTTTTATAAATTATTACTTTTTTGTTTTAAACGATTTGTAACTTTCTTATGTATCTTTTTTGTAAAACAAAATGCATAATAAAAAATATAATAATTTTTATTAATAATATTTTTCTTATTTTTTAAAAAATATGAAGATAAAATACTTGTATGCATTTTTAGAGAATATTAGCTTTATTTATATAACAGCTTTTTTGAATATAAAAATCCGGACACAAGTTATCATTAAAATAATTATTTGTTTATTATTCAATTTGACTTTAACAAATTATGGAATTACATAGTTTAAAAAATCTTCTCCTTTAGGATAATGATCATTAATTAAAATTAGGACATTTATCATTTCTATCTCTCTATCTCTCTATCTGTAAACAACTTTTATACAAAAAAACTTGTCCCCATCAAAAACAAAACGAGCTTATTTGTAGTATTTTGTTTCTGTGTAACGTGTAAAAAGTTAGGATTAACAAAAAATTTTACGAAAATAACGGTTTCATTTTTTTCGATTTTTTTTTATGATGTTATTTAAATAAAAATAATTGTAGCCTGTAGGGACTTGATATTCTCACAGAATACTTATATTAAAGCTTTTTGTAATTTTTATTGGATTTCATGTAAGATAAAATCGTTTTAACCAATTAAAATGTTTAAAATGCTTAAAAATATACACGAGGTTTATCATAAGTTTTAATTGTATTAACTAATATTTTTAGTAAATGTGACATATACGGGGTGATCGATCCATCATAATTCATAGTTCTACATTATTAAAATGCCGCACGCTGTGCTGTCACACAAATTATGCTCCACTACTCTCTCCCGACTAAAACTTAAAAGTGAAGTATCTTGTCAACGGATTGACGGAAATTAAAAATTTAAAAATTTACATTTATTTTAACTACTACTCTATTTATTTATGGAAATTTTAATATAGGGTGCCATCTGAAAATCATAAGTAGGTAGTCGTTTTACCCCTAAAAATTAGTTTGACAAAAAATAACATAAATGTAAAATTGCAGAGTTGTTTGTTCCTACAATTTTCTATAAAACAAATGTCGAAAAAAGTTAATACTTTCCCAGATAAAGAGTGTCTTATGATAGATTGATCATCCGGTATAACTGAACTTTGTTAAAAAAACTTTACCGTTGCGTACAGATAACAACCAAATTACTATATATACATCTTCCTTTGGACTTTCCTCCTAAAACAGTTGCACGCCTTTCTACTGTTATGATCATTTTTTTTTTTATGCCCGCAATTAACTCTGAAAAACATAGTGTATTTCAAATAACAAAAAAAGTCACATTTCGATAATTATTATTCAGTATATTATTAAATACGGATAATATTTGCCAATTTGACGTTGAAATAAAAATTAATATTATCATTTTATAACATTATAATATATAGATAAGTAGGGGTACAATAAAATGAATTCTTTCGCGAAACAAATAGGTAAAATAGGTATTTAGTCCGACGTTTTTCCGTTCGCGTACATCGATATTATATCAAATAATCGGGCTGCAAACGAGTTGTGTCCCATGTACGGAATTGTTTGCCGGGTTTTTTTCTTTTTTTTTTTTGGGGGGGGGGGTTAACATGCGTGAAACATTAATATTTTCTTACAATAATAATAACGAACAGAACATACTTTTTTATCGTGTAAAATATAAAATATACATCTACATTGAAATATAATTTTTACTAGGTTGCACAGGACTTGTGTACCAGTACGTTCTTTCGTCGGGACTCAACTCGTTGACTTTGAATAATTGATATCCACTTAATTATATTTTGTATAGATGCCTATAACAATGATTTACCTAATTAAAATGTTTGGGAACGTGGAACAGAAAGGAGATATATAGAAATAAAAAGCTACACATAAAAGTTGTAATTTTGATTTGAAATTTGAACCATGTTCTTATACCATAGATTCCAATTATTAATTTGTAAACATTTTAGAAATTTTCTTATGTTAAAGACTAAAACATCTATATTCAATAGAATATTATATATTACCGATTCAGTTTTTAAATGTATGTGAATGTAATATAAGATAAATATTAAAATGTATCTAAAATGTATGGTTCGTTTCATGGCTCTGTTCTGCCCCACGTTTCCTTAAGTATGATTAATAATAGTATATTTTATAATATAATATGAGTAACTCAATAGTCAACATACATGGTTACAGCTTGGTGTCTACACCACGTTGTTAGATATTTTAAAACTAACCAGTCACTTAATATAACAAAATTATAAAAATAATGATACAAATCACAAGGAGAACGATGCATATTAAATTATATTTATATATAGGTACTATACAATATATAAATTACAATAATATTGTCCGGTTTTCAACGAGAGTACATTTTCGTCGACAAATCCGTGCAAAATTTAAAAAAAAAAACGAAAAACATAAATTTCTCTGAAAAGATTGTCACAGTTGGGAAGTAAAAATATCGTGACGTTTTCATTATTATTATTATTATTATTTTTTTTTTTTTTTGATCATTTATATACATAAAAGCATATACTTAAAAATTAACTATAATTTATCAGTTTTTTTTGGTGTTTTTATCATGAAAAAAAAACCAAATAAAAATTTTAATATTTTAAAATATTAAAACTTGACACACACATACACACACACACACACATATATATCCGAGAAAAATATTTGATATTTATACATTTTTTTAATTTATAGTAGTTTCGACGAACAATTTTCGTCATATCGTTATGGATTGATGGATTGAGACCAATGAATGTCGACGGCATTCAATTGAAATTCATTGAACGCAACGTTGGCGTTGGTCTCAGTCCCGCAATACGCCTCCATGTAAAAATTATCGTTGTTATTGTTGTTGTTATTGTTGTTGTTGTTGTTGTTGTTGTTGTTGTTGTTGTTGTTGTTCTGCAAAAGTTTGGCTGGGTCCAGCACCATGAAATCAACCGAAGAAGCGTCGGGCATCGAACCGTCCCCGATGAAATCCATTGACCCGTCGTCCAGACCGATGGTCGGGCCGCTACTGCCAGTCTTGCAGGCTACGTCGGCCAATGATGAGGACGACGACATTTGCGCATAGTAGTCCATCGGGTAGACCAGGTCCAACGAGTCTTGCCCGTTTCCACTGCATCCGTCGTCCTCGGTTTTGATACTGGCCGCTAAGGAGTACTGACGATGAAGATGATTATGCTGATATCCGCCATTATCACCACCACTATTAATACAACCACAATTCGGCTGATAGCACTGTTCGTGGCCATTGTTATTGTTGTTGTTGTTTAGGTGGTGGTGATGGTGATGATGGTTGTGCTGGTGCAGACGGTAATCCGCGGATGGCTGGAAATGTCGCCAATCGTCGTTTTTGTCCTGGCCGCACTGTACTGGACTTTTGTGAATCGTCCCGCTGCCCAAGTCCAACACGGTGGTTGGCGAAGACTTTAGGTAAGCGGAAGATGAAACGGCCGTGGCAGCGTTAATGACGTCTTGGGACCGTTGCTGTTCCGCATGCAATTGGTACACGACTTCGTGGTCGGTCTCGGTGGCCGACGGAAGTAGTGGTTGACTGCAGTATAAGGCCGACGACGGACCGGCGGCAGTGGCAAAGGTTCCGAAATCCGTGGGTTCAGGTAGTTGATGCAGCTGTTGTGGCATTTGATGATAGTTCTGGAGCCCCGAAGTCCAGTCTTGGTGGTGATGGTCGTTGTTGCTGTCGTAAACTGCAGCGACGTGCTGTTGCTGGAGGACGCCAGTCGTTGGTTCATGACTGGATTCCAAACGATCGATGCCGTTACCGGTGTTGCATACACAATAGTAGGGGAGACATGAGCAACCTGCAGAGTCTAAAAACAAATAAAATGATATTGGTAGGGAAAAACAAAATGACAACAATTTGGTTTGAGTTGTGGAACTCAGTAGATAGAACTCTATTATTGAAAAGAAATGTATTCAAGATGAGCATAGCAATTGAGTAGGTATAGATATAAAACAGAGTGAATAAAATATTATTTTAAATGAATGAGACTGAGATGAGAATTTCGAGGGATTGAAATAACGATAATGATTGGTGTGAATAAATTGTATAGTATTGAATCGTAATAACTCACTCAAATTTGTATTTTCTGTAAGTACATCTTGAGCCAATTGCGTACTCAAATAGTGTTTTCGATTTCCGCTACCGATGGCGGTTTTCTGTTTTTGGTTCTTTACATTTAATGTCTAGAAAATAATCGTTCATATTCAATGAGTATATAATATTATAACTAAATAAATATAGTTTGTACAGTTCAATCATAAAATATATCATATTAATATTATTTAATTTTGAATTGTATGTTATTTATTTGTTATTTATGAGCATTCGTGTATTTTTTGTTTAAAATTATATTTTTATATGGACAAAATATGTCTTGTGAACATGTATAGTTGGTGTTTGACATTCTCCGTAAAACGGATCTAAACTCCGCGCAAAAAGTTATCAATATTTGTACACTCTTACTGTAACTGACTCGCGACTACATTTAGGACTAAGAAAAATGTCGAAAATTTAATAAAATACAAACTGTGGCAAAAACAAAAAGTTCAGATTAGATATATACCTAACCATAATAATATTCTTTCATTTAAAATCGAACCAGAGATATACCTAGATATAACCAGAGATATATGTACCTATGTAATCTTATGCTCACATAGTCTCACAACATTGTAAACATGTTTAGAATTATTTATATTCGTAACAGTGCAACTAAAAGAGCCAAAAACGGTCTTTAGTTAAAGTACTTGGTAATTGGTATTTAAAAAAATTTTAAATTTAATGAATATATAACGTGGTATTCGTTGATTGAGAGGGTCCATATATTTTTACAATCAAAATATTTTAAGATAAGTCAAATGAATTAGAAAGACTTGTGTCGTCACCTTTGGTGACACCGTCTTTGTCGCAGTCATACCATTAGAACTCATACTTTTAGAATCTCGAGCATTTTGGCCACTCGAAAAATCGATCAGAGTCTAAGGCTTAGATGATCATTCTGTCGAGAAATCTCTGCAGAATAAGTACGCATCATCAACCTTTTTCGTAAATTTTTCTCGAATAGACTTTTCAACTTTAAACAGCTAATTGAGAACTACTCATGTTTAATTTCTTTTAATGGTTCACCCTTTTTTATATCCCTATTTAAATATTAACATATTTGTTATATGAGACCGGAGTACATACAATTTCAGAGTGTTAAATACTTAAATTAGAATATTTGAATTGAGTTATTTTGTTCAGTACTCGACTTTTGAACTTTTAACTAGATTTAAAAGAAGCAAACCTCGCCCAATTCTAAACACAGGTATAAATATGATACGATATGAATATCGTTCCGAGGCCCCAGAATTCGCCCTACTTTTATTTAAAACCACTACCTATATCTTAGAATTTTCAAATTTTATCTGAGGGCAGCGGCTCTCTCATCGTTTCGTTAATACACTCCTGTTTAATTTATAACCTAATTTTTAAATACCTATTTATTTATAGATTGTTATCTACTTAAATTTTTAAATATTTTAAATACCGTTTACCGAATTAATAATATTACTATGTAATAATTATTATTACAGATAGGTGTATATTTCTTCTATATTTTAGAGTTAGTTCATTATACGCTGAAAACCGCGTATGTAATGTAATGTTGAGTGTAAAATATCAAAATCCACAGAAAATGTAATTGTGAAATGAACATTTCAGAATTATATTGTAATAAAGTAGTTACTTTACTGCAATATAATTTAACTATTATTTTAACTGAGATGTGTTTTTATTTCTCGTAAAACGCTTTTTCGTTTAATAAAAATGCTCTGGTTTTTTTTTTATGCGGTAGTTAAGTACCTTAAAATATACAGATTTTTTGCTCGGCAGTACTTTTTAAAAAATAAAACATTTTCTAGATTCTCGAAAGTTTTTCTAAAACATTAAAAAACTGGTTGAGATTTACCTATTATACGAACGTTTATTATTGTTTTTTTGTTGACATTGCACTGGGTAATCTACCGATGCATTTCAATATCAATAGATTTTGTTCAAACGAGTTTTTCGTTTTAAGTTTAAAACAGACTTATAAAATACGTTACTTTATTACTATATACATAGCTATATATAGGTAGTTTAAAATTATGTTATTTCCAAATACGCTTCGGTTGGGATTGTTTAACAGTTTTGATTTCGCCGTTACGGTTACCGGTGATTTCGGCTTGTTTTTTATTACGATTGGCCGCTGACACGAGCTGCGTCTTATTATTTTTATCACCTTCAGCTGCTACTGCAGTATCGCTTGCCTTCACTGAACACTTCGATGATTGAAAAATGGGCCGTTTCAAACCTGGTTTCTTGATAAGTCTTTTTTCGATAACGCTTTTCTGGTACACCTTGTGTTCCTCTTCCCAGATTTTGGCGTACTCCATCGATATGAGCGAGCTGATTTCTGGTTTAGAATTGGTTTTCACGTACGATGGATTAAAGTGTTTAACGTCACCGAATTTCGAGGAGGTGATTTGATTTTTTAAAATCACTTTAGCGGCGGGCCCGAACGATTTAACATTTTTTTTCGACGAACAGCCTGACGACGCCAGTGATGTTGAACTGGGACCGGACGACATGATTTAATAACTAATTATTGTGTTTGAATCAGAAACTTGTATATACGATCATATATTAGAGGTAGGTTATCGTTATCCTGTGTGTAAAAACAAAAACGATAAAAACTAACGAATAAAACCGTGAAAAATAAATTTAAAACTTATCGTCGTATAATAACATTAACATTAATAACAAACTTCAGTTGCTATCTGCGGGTTTGTACGTGTTACGTTTTGTATTAATATTATTATTATTGTTATTATTTTACGAACATGTTTTTACTGATAAAATATACTAGGTATAATAATATTCACTAATAATATTATTAGAGCTAGATTCCATCAGCCCTTTGATGAGGTATTCTACTTTTAAATTTGGGTAGAAGAAATTATAGTGAAGTACTATTCATACGCCCCAAGCAGTACCGCCACACAAATGATCCTTCACTACTCTCCACCTAAGGATTGATCACTCAAAGATTAATCGCTTTGAATATGGATGTAGGGAACTGAAGAAGGTGAACAATTAGGAATGTAGATTTAATAGGGTAATTTACATAAGTAGTATAAAAACTGTACGTAACGATAAATTATTAATTTGTAATTATACAAAATAAATTAAAATATTGTTTTTAATGAATTTTATAAACATTCGAACTTAAAACCCGTATAAAAATGAAATATCAATGACGTGGCATCATGCTTAAAATAATTTTTCACCCCCAGCACAACTTATGATAATGAATATTATATCTAATTTTCCAAACATTTTCGAGAAGCTAAAAATATTGGATACACACACAACCAATAAAAAATAAAAAAGTAGAAAATTTCAAACAAAAACAACTCGAAACAACGCCCGAATATTTTAAATCTTGTATCACGGGTAGAAAATGCCATTATAAAATATTCCTTGTAAATTCCGAAAAATTCTAGTTTTACCATTATTAAGAAATATATGAGGACCCTCGAAATACAATCTCTTTAATGTATCAACTTTACGAAAAATTCAATGCTCCCGGTATTAGCGATCAGAGCAATATTTTTAGTCAAAAAGTATTATACAAACAGAAAAAAAAACATATCTTAGTAAAACTAAGACGGGATCCAGTTAAAATATAAGTTTTCTTAAAAGTATTATTCGACGCCCACGATATTCTGTGAACCGTATGAGTTTATAGACTACAACAGCAGTACACATGGTAAGTGGCGATTAAAAGTTAAATTTTTTGAATTTTTTTCTTCTTTTTCTCTGTTGAACGCGTTTTGCCTCGGGTTTGTTTATAAGATATATTAACTGCAGAGAAATCGAGTTTTCGTATTTATATATGATTTGACCTACAATACGCGTTGTCAAAAAAAAAAAAAAAAAAACCATTCAGGTTATAAGTATATGTAGATTTACAGGGTGACATTGTGAAATTTAACAAATGCAATAACTTTTTTTCCAATCAGTATTTTTAAATTAATTTTTTGTAACAGGTACCCACGTACTATAGAACCTTGTATTATAATTTTAATATTTTATATATTTTTTTAAATGTTTTTCTTTTTACAATATCCAAGATAATAGCCATTTTATGAATTTATTTTTGAAACAAAATGTTAGTGTTACAAATGTTTAATAAGGATGCGCGGTTAATTTTCTAAAACTTTTTGAATTTAATAAAACTTTAAACTGTTTTCCTTGCCACTTCTAAATATTATCAACTATTAATTATTATGTAATATTTGTTTTTCCTGAAATCTTACTCATATTAATACGATAATATGTATTATTAAGTGGAAAAAATTAAAATTTTTGTAAACTTCAAAAAGTTGTGAACTCATCGCTATTACTCAACATTTTTAGCATAAACAATTTTTGATTTAAAATAACATTATAAAAACAGTTATATTGGATTTTATAAACAAATTTATTATTTTTAGTGTGTATGAACTATAATAATACAAGGCTCTAGTATAGGTAATTAGTTTGAAAAAAAAAACTTAAAAATAAAATGAACACAACAAAAGTTGTCTAACAATTGCAATTGTTAGATCGCCATGGGACACCCTGTATATATATATATATATATAAAAAAAAAACAGTTTCGTATACCATTCATATTCGTATATACACACTGTAATATTTTATGATTCATGGGCAGAGACTTGGTGGTTTATTTTTTTTGTATGTGTGCCAGTGTTTATTATCTACGAAAACCTACAATTAAAGGAGGTTTTTTTTCTTTCTAAGAGACAATACCGAACGGATTTATAATTATTATAATTCGTAAACGTACGCGGTCGGGCAGGGCTGACCAAAGTCGATAACGATAACATATAATATTATATAGTACGAGTAATTTATGTTTTTTTTTTTTCTCAACTCGTCTTCTCGTCACGATCTAAATAATTATCGAGTATGTAATATTGTTTGTTTTTTCCAAAGCGTCTGCGAACTTGTACACATATATATATATATATTGCATAAAAACTTTTTTTTTTCGATTTCGTTGTTTTTAATGGACTATCATTTATTGCGAGATTATACAAATTCACGTTCAATTAGATTTTATATTCATACAAATTTAATAAATATACAGGTGCGTCGAATATCTAAATCGAGGTAACATTTCGTATCGGTTCTGATACTTTATTACGGTAAAATAATAACGTGATAATCTCGTCGTTAATAAATAGATTTGATTAAATTAATTAGTTTTTTTTTTTATATGCACGATTTATTTTCATATCTAAATAATATTAGTCTAATTAGTGTTTTATAATAATATTATTAATTACAGTTACTATAGTTTTATTCTTAAACAAAGGCATCGAGAATCGTGTATTGATATCGTGTATTAAATTCTAAATTTTTGGTATCGCTCGTTTCTATATTCGTAGAGACTTGAAATTCAGAGAGAAAACTTATATTTGCCTTTTTTAGACACGGTAAAATGTTTCAAGAATATGAGGCACTTTTTTTTTAGCTGTTTATAGAAATTTCAATTTTGGAAGTTTTGTGTTTAATTTTTGTTCTGTAGGTAGTCTGTCGATAAAATTGTTCGACCAAAGAGAAATGCATGCAAATTTAACAAGAGGTTCATTAAAAGTCGTACTTTGTGGTAAAAAAAAAAAAAAATTAAGTTTAATGTAGTATGTTTTTTTTTGATAATGAGAATTCAAAAGTAGAATCCAAAAAGGCATTTATATTTAATAAATACGTTTTTTCATTGCAACTATAACAAATTTTGAGAAAAAATGATCAAATAAATACCCGTGGTTTTGATATTTTTAAGCCAATGGTGAGGGGAATTTTGGAATGTAATCTCTCCATGTCACTGTGCGCGGTAGCAAATTGTATACAATGTAAGCACAAGCTGCAATAATATTTGCGAAAAAATCGGCAGAAACTGAAAACGTTTAATATAATAATATATGCTCGAAACGAAAACGACCACGACACATTTACTTGTACCACTAAAAATTATTATCGTTTAAAGTGTTGTCGAGGGTTGCGCGGCGAGTTTCGGTAACAGGTATTAAAAATGTTTTAAACATAGCATTAAACGGGCGCATCACACACGATAATCGTATTACGACGACACGCCGCCTATGCGATGAAGAGTGAAATTAGCGAACCGTTTTGTTCGCGAGACGCGTAAACCCATCATTTTCGTACTCGAGCCCCTTTTAAAACGGTAAAAATTTACGCTTACATAATAATAACGTATATTATATGTATAGCGTTTTGTACTCGTGTATGGGTCGAAACTCGAAACTTCTTCTTTTTAAGTAAGTAGGTATGTTATATTGTTTTTATATAAAGCGCGTCGGGAAAATAAGATTATTCCGGTCCGCAAAAGACGTAGCAAATAATCATTTATAATGACGATGACGATGATGATAATGATTTATTATCATAATGACCCATAAACAGGGGGGATATATATTATAACGGTGCACAGTAAAGAGATACATGCACCTACCATAGTATTTAATAAAGAAGACCTGACGAATAGTGCAGGTAGACATCAAATAGATAAAAGATTTCAAAGGGCAGCCCATATTATACCTACGGAGAAAACGGGAAGATATGATACGTGCAATGTTATACGCCGGGAATATTCGAGTGGGAAAAGGAACTCTTAAAAGGAGACGTGTGATAGAAATACAGCCGTGTTTAATATGGGTTAAACATGTTGACGACCCTAGCATAAACGAAAACAATAAGTTAACATGGTTTGTTATCAATGTTTTTTGAGAAAAAAATATACTATACATATGACATAATATATTTATAGTTTGAACAATTATTACGCAACACAGATGCAGCTTAAACAAAGTATAATATTCGATTAATGCAATATTGACCAGTGGCACTGAGAACGTACTTCAGTTTTCCCGAATTGGGTGGGTGGGTGCTGTTCCCGGGGGGTAAGTATATAATTTAATAGGAATAATTTATATTACCTACAATGTACCATAGGTAGTATATGTCATATACTAAAATAATTGAATTGATACCGGTTCGTTATACATTTGTATAAGGTATTAATTATTGGTTAATGGGCCATTGGATGGATAGGCAGGTTGTATGTTCTAAACTAAAATTATTTGAACCATCATTTTTTAAAGAATCCAGCGCCACCGATATTGACCGGATGAAAGTGACGTTTGTGGAATAATGGAATATGTGGTCGTATAAAATAATATTGTAGTGTGTGAGTATCAAAATGTTAAAACAAAAATATATAAACGAATCTGAACGTACAACTGCGAGTTATCTAAATTTGACGCGTGGTTATAACCGAAGATTAAAGCGACATTTTGGAAATATCGTAAATTAAATTGTATTAAACGATTCTATAAACGTAACTTCTATAAAATAAAAAAAAGCTGATAGTGGGGACGGTTGTGGTCACTGTTGTAGGTGGGTATTTGGTTAGGTGAGATACACATAAGTTATTTAATTTATACTTGTAACCTTTGATAAACCAAAGCTAACAAAAAACGAAAATTTGATTTTAAAACTCTTATGAAAAAAATAAAGACTACATTACACTCAGTTTTTTTTTTGACCACTAGATATGACTTTTAATAAACCTCCTGTTAAATTTCCAAGCATTTCTGTTTAGTCTAACAAGTGTATCCATAGAGTACCTACCAAATAAAAATTACTTAAAAAACTCGCACAATAAAAAATATATTTTTCGTCCTTTAGATTTTTCCATTTATTATGAAAAATTATATTTAACCTAACCTAATAATTATATTATTTTTTTTGTCTATATATTAATAAGAACAAAATCTTTTGTTATTTTTCGATTGGAGCAATTATTATTCCGATATAAAACATTTTGTACGCAAATTTGAAACAATTAAATCGGTAACGTCTTAAAATGCTCAATATATTTACCGTTTTACTTATAATTTTCTTTCGGGTTTTTCTCAATTGTTTCGAAAATCCCTTAGAAAATCAAAAAATGACATTCCTAATACATTAACTAGTTAAATATACCATTGTGAAAAGGCTCTACACTTAAAACTTCGGAGCAAGATTTCTGGTAGAAAAGTTGCTCACAGACACAAAACGAAAAAAAAAAAACATTGTAAAACTAATAGGTCCCAACGCTACGCTTAGAGTCTAAAAAAAATAAATAAATATTAAAATCAGATGTACTTGATATTTTTGGGGTGACAATGATGATATCAATTGGCATGTCATCCAGGTTGAAAATCTATGTTCGAAAGGGACACTTATCGTACACTGTCGTGGCTATTCAGATATATCTTGGATCTCTTGTACACATTCCTAATTATGTATTATTTCAGAGACTTTATTATTGTTTTCAACGACCATACGACTAATTTACGAATATAGTTTTTCGTCGATTTGCCACGTTAATTATAATAATAATATATAAAATAAGTAATAATGAATGTTTTAAATATTTGTTTTAATTTTTTTTAAACGATATCGTATATTATCATCTACCTAATATTATACTACTCGTATTATTAGTATACGACTGTACGACAATTATTAGCCGTCCGACAGCGCATGATTATATTATTATACACCCTCCGGGCTATTATTTATATATATATATATATAATATTATTTATATTATATTATATCGTCGAGAGTTATAAATATTTATGCGATGTAAAATTTTATACGATTATTACGATATAATGTGAGCGTGCTGCACGACGATGACGACTGTAGTTTTTGCCGAAATGATTTATACAGCTCCTATAATTGAATTACCATACTACGCGCGCTCTCTCTCGTGCCCTATAATTATTACTGTAGCACTCCGTACAAGTATCATAATACAATAATAATAATCATAATATTAATAGGTATAATAACAATAATAATAATAATAATAATAATGATTGTATTATCATCATCATATCATTGTAGCAGATATCCACTTATTGTCTCCACAAAAGGTCGATCGGGGGGGGGGGGAGGACGGCTAACGTCGGCTAGATTAGGTTAGGTTAGATTAGGTTAGTTTGTTATGCCACTAACATAACGGGCTAAAAACGACTGACTGACAAGAGGCGAATGATTTGATTTTATCGACGAGTTGTCGGTTGATATTAAATTTTATAATTGGATCGATAAAAAAAAATCATTTTAAATTTAAGGAATTTTGAAAAATGTTTTTAACACCAACGTTCTAAGATACATCATAATTGTATGCCGTTTTATCAAAATAAATAGAGTAAGTATTTCTCGGTTGATTGTGCATAAAAGAAAAGTTTTATTTTAATTTTACTGTATTTCTACCAGAGATCTATGATTAAACTTATCGATACAGAGAATTATCGAATGATTCGTTAGAATGGACTGGGAGAAAAAAGTGACCGAGTGAATTTAAATATTAATAGCTCAATGATTTATTCTAATGAGACATAATGAAAATAGTAAGTACCGATTAAGTTCAATTTAAGCTAAATATTGTCTAATATACTTACTATATAGTGTTTATAAGAAAAGCATTTCTATATTACGTTTTTTCAATGTTTTTGTACTAAAATTTAAAATAAACGTGTATATAAATATACCAATAAGAAATTCCAAATGGGTATGCATTACATGATAAAATTATAAAAAAACGAAATAATTTTATTCAATCGTAAATTAATAGTGTATCGAACAACACGTTAAAAATAATTTAAATGTCACGGAAATACTACTATTTTGAAAAGTTTTATTTATTTTTTGTTCACCTATTATAAATTATTAATCCTTGGTAGTTAGCAGACAATATAGCTGTTACCATTATATGTAAGGGTTAGGTTAGGTTAAGTTAGAAATGAATGGTTAGAATTTAAAACAATTCGATAATTTCCGTCATTGCGCACGATCCTTACAATCATACAAACAATCATCGGTCACCCCGCTGAAAGTAGGTAGGTAATCGCAAAATGTAATCATAGATTATTTAAAAATAAAAAATAAAATGTTTACGAGACGTACGCAATACTATAATATATAATGCAGAAGAAGTGAAGAGGATCGTGGTGAACTCGCACAATGATATTAGGCATGTGTTTTTATTCCCCCGAAAACCCTAAAGTCCGAAACACACCACCGCACTATACTTACTGTACACCTTACTACAGTAATATTATATTATAATGTATACTTTACGAATTTGATGAATGCGTCTTAATTCGTTTTTTGTATTGTATTATTTTTTTCTATTTTTTTAATTCTTTAGTAAACCGCACCAATATATTTTACTCATACTACCGTAACGACCAAAATCTCTGCAAACAATTAACCGGAGGTTTATTTTTTTCCCCTGTGGTTATGCGTACCTATATACACGACGGGTTCATTTTCGTATAATATTATTATTCATTGTAACCGTTGATTTATATTTTATATTGTATCACCGCCACGTAGCGTATTATACACTCGTCTCAAAACATACACACATAACGCCACCAATCACTGCCCGAAATGATAATGATCAAATTATATACATCGAATGGACAGCGATTATGCGGTGTCCGCGTTCAGTATATTGTATTTATATCCTACAGACTGTATAATTATGGTGTTTTATTATAATATTATTGATGACCACGAACTTACAACCTACTGCTGTTACTACTACTACTACTTCTACTACTACTACTACTACTTCTACTACTACTACTACTACTACTACTACTACTACTACTACTACTACACACCTGTATTTATTGTATATTATAACATTACTATATAGGTAGGATATACATATATATATATATATATATATATATATATAGGTACACTCGCTGAATCTCATTTAAGTATTTCAATTTTTTTTTTCTCCGTCCATGTATTATTATTGTCAATGTTATACCTATATTACTAAATCATTGATACCCATGCATAGGTATGTATTTGTATACGTCGGATTAATCAATACGGTTCATATAATATTGTATTGTTGCTACAGTTATCGATGTACATAATACCGCGTTACAATAGATTCTGCTGGTTTTTTTTTTTAAATTTTTTTTATCACGTTTTCGAGACCATATTGTAATAATGGCTTTCTCACGCGGAAATAATAAACCCGAAAGAGGCGATTACAATCGTCTAGTTACAGAGAGTGTACACGCGTGTGTTATAATTAGGAGTTTCCCTGAAGGTGTAATACCTCGCGGGCGGAGCGTGAGGAACGATATGTGCCGTAAATGATGTTCCATATTTATATTACAAAACATCTTGGCACGCGTCAATATTACTGATCGGTGTTCGGTACAGAGACGAACAAACTAATTATATTTTCCATGTTATTTAGTCAGTTCAACTGAAATTGTATAATCAAAATATTTTGTTAAATTAAAAGCATATCCAATACAAATTATATCCATTATGCATAGGTAGCAGTTTCAACAATAAATTAGCATCCAAAATATTTTATCTTTAATAACCTTATGGTCATAGTAAATATCACTAAATATGGTGGTAATTTTAACGTTGATTTTTTTTTAACCATGTTTTATTATTACCAAATAATTTTTTCGTGAATATTTTGTAACTTCTATATGATAGATTATAAGCTCGTATGGTTGTTTTGTATGGTTTTTTTCGAATCAGTCGTTCGTATATTGGTCATATATTTTAATAAATATAATGATCATTTGAAAAAATAACTTACTTTTCCGCCGAAAGGAACATCTCGAGATAACATCATGCCAAAGTTGCGTATTTTACGGCCGGCACCAAAACTTCTCCGGGCTTCCGAAGTCGACTTGGCCTCGGGTCTTAGATGATCATGAACGCCTTTGGCTTGGAAAAATATAGCGTATTCGGTGTGCCGCCAAAAATGAGTGACCGGATAACCGCAGTGACCCCGGCATGGCATTATTTCCAGGTGACCGTTACACTGTCTGTTCGGACATGGTTTGCCTATAAAACGAAATAGAAATATTTTAGTACGGTTAAGGGAAATATTCAGAGACTTGACAAAGTCCAAGCGGAGGATTTAAATCGCAGTAAAGCATTTACCGTCTCGGGACTAACTAACCGATAGTCTAGTAAAAATATATTTTAGCACTTCTAATAATAGTACTCAGAATCTAAAATTCGACCTAAAACAAAAATGATTTCATCAAATTAAAAACGAGAACATTTGTAATGGTTTCAAAGCGGGAATTTTTCCCGTTAATTTCCCGTTTAATCTATTCACAGTAACCACAATATAAAATTGTACAATAAGTATATTTAAAAACTCTTTTTGAAAATATAGTAAATGTGTTCATTTTTTTAATTTGGTGAATAAAATGTTGTTTTTGGTTTATTAGATCCTCATATAGCAGATATAATATATGAAGCACGAAAACATATTATTGATCGTTAGATAGATTCTGTAGAGACGACAAGTATTATTGTGACACACTGATACTATCTTATAACAACTGAAAATTGTACCTTGTTGCTTTTTCCGGGCCTTGTCGCATATGGCTGGTCTGAGGTGAACCGTGTCGCCCGACGGGAGTATGCACCGTCTCGAGCATAACAGCACGCCCAGACACGATTTCTTCAAAATGTGCACGTTATGGTTGTTGGTATTTCGCATCGCCCATCCGGAAGCGTGTCTCTTGGCTTCTTCGCAATTTGGTGGGTACACCAAGCGACAGTGACCGTCGGCCCATTCCTCCCACGTGTTAAAGATATTCACCTACATACAAATTCAAAATTAAACCGTACGGAAAACATATAGTAACATTACAATTTTTGCACCCTAAATTCCATAACATTTATCATCACTTCATTATCAGTATTAACTTGATTTCTAAGTCAAACGCGCACTTTTATGAGTGGCAGATCCAGGGGGACCTAGGAGTCTCACCCCCCAGACCTCACCAACAGTCTCTTTTTAACTACACAAATATTTTAAATTGTATAACGCATTATCATTAATTACACAATATCTATTTCTAAAACCATTGGAAAATGAGAATGTTATTGTTGGAATGAAAACAGATAAAATTGCTATTTTTAAAACCTATTTCGCTGGTCTTTCTAGTTTCTATGTAACTTATTAGTTGTGTTCGAGATTCGACGAGAAATACAAAATTATTTTTGTGATCATGTCACCGTGAACATGTATTATTGCGTCTTCTATTTTTCGGACTTAAAACCATATTGTGTTTTTAATTTATTAACTTTTTAAACATGGATTTTATTAGCAGGGTGGAACAAAAATTAAACAATTATGCCTTCAGATCTGAAAATGTAAGTATCTACATTTGATTAGCACTTATCTGATATTTGATTATAATATATTATCGTATATTAGTATTATTATAGTATATAAGTACTATTATTAGTATATACATATTTTTTATACAACTAACTAAAAAAGTATTCGGAGTAAAAACTAAGGGTTGTATGCATAGTCACTTTATGTGCTACATAAGACAATGTTATGTAACACATAATTTTTTATTTGTTTACCTAATTAAATTAAATTAAATTTTTCACACTTATAAAAATATGTATTCATATCCAAATATGTATAGGTACTCTATTTCAAAAAAGAATATACCGCTTTCGCGCGTGTTGACTGACGAATTGCGATTGGCGGTCGTCCCGAATCAAATTTCTCCCACTATCGTCGAAACGATGCAACGATCGTGCACGACGGTCGCCGATTACAACTGTCCGACGAGTATACACCAATTTCAAATAAATTGTTTACATATAATTGTAATATCTGACCGGCCAAGTCCAAGTAGGTCCATAATAATGTGAACAAGTATACAAATTTAAAATAAAACACCAGACGTGCACTACGCGTATTACGGTTAGCGCAAGAGTCAATGTGTGTGTATTATAGTTGTGATATTTGTTACCGGCTGTATGCGGGTTCACAACGAGCTGACGGCGGGAGCGCGCTCGTAGTGACCGGTGGTACCTGGTGGGGATGCGCGTCATCGAACGAAAGTTGGTCACAAAAGCTGGTCACGAAAGCAGTATGTTCTCTTTCCAAACAAATGTGTAAGACATATTTTGTTTAATAGTTGTAATATTAAGAGTATCTAGATAAAAATTATTTAAAATAATATGATGCATAACATAATTTCCACTTTTATTTACGTATTTATAAGTATTTTATATTTTAGGTACCTCATACAAAAATGATTAATATAATTGATGACCGATGGCTTAAAAGTCATTTTTTGGGAGGGGAGGCCCCTCCCAAAAAAAAAAAAAATTCAATCCCGGATCCGACACTGACTCCTATAATAACATTCCACGAACTTTAACTTCTGGCCTACTCCGGCCATCATTCATACGGATATCTATATCTCATCATAATTTGTCCATCAACACGTATACAGTAATATATTATATAGTTATACATTTAAAATATATAAAATTACAACCAGTACAATGATTATATCACTATAATTCGTAATCAAATCCATATCTGTACGCAACGATAATTCATTGCCTAAAGGAAAAACGATTCTGAGCGGAATTTGGTTTTTCATGTTTTGAAAGGCCGTAATATTTACAATTTTCGTCAAAATTTGCTTTTAAAATACTTATGTAAAAAAAAAAAAATACTGTATTTCACTCAATTTTTTTTTGACCCCTAAGTACGACTTATAATGAACCTTCTCTCAAGTTTTCAATTGTTTCTATTTAGTCTAACAATTTTATCCACACTGTTTCTAACAAGATTAAAAATTTAATAAATAGATTTCTAGTTGTTTTTATATTGGAATAATATTTTTGGTAGAAAATGGAAAGCGTAAACATTTAAAATAATGAATCGTTTTTTTCCGGTTTTTCCTAATTATAAATAGAACTACAGAGAAAATAAATAATGACTTTCTTTCTCACTAACTAGATTAAAAATGCAACTACATATTATATAACTATGCATATTACATATTTTATGCGTCGGAGCAAGATTTCTTTTCAAAAAGTTGTTTACAGACAGAAAAAAAATAAAATATTTTTCTGGATAATGATAAATAAATACTGTATATTACTATCATTTTTTAAATGATATGTTAATATATTTATTTCCGTTGCGTGTGAAAATGATGAACACAAAAATAATAATCGTTATGCGATGTTGATATATTCAACCCCGACAGCAATATGAACTAAAAAACAAATTATAATTATATTTCGATAGTCGGGTTTTAGAGCTTATAACAGCTTAATTACAGACTTTGCATGATAATATAATAATCAAATATTCTGGTAAATGTCACACATATAATATGTAATTTTTTCAAATCCGTTTGTTTCGAGTTATAAATTGTCCAGGATATGATTGCCACATTGCCCGTAATACGTATCAATCAATATGCTGTCGTCGCATAAAATATGTCCAGCGTATTTGTTTCTTGATTTTTTTTTTTTTGATTTTTAAATAGACTCAAAGTTCATTTATTTGTGTGTATGTATAATATATAATATCGTGTATTATTATTATTATATTAAAAGTTACTTTAAATTGATTTGGATTAATAATTGCGTTACGAAGTACTATATCTATTTATATTGAACTGACTGGGTCACACGTACTATAAAGTCTATAACACGATCAGAATAAAAGTAATTAATATCGGAAACCACATAAAAAGAAGAGACCTTTAGGTACGATAGACCCGAGAAACACCGAAGTCGAAAAAGATCGAACAAATATCAAGAGTGAAAAATTACAAAGATGGAGTTATAGTAGCGCTGGACAGAGAAACACGGCGAAAACGTGTGGCCTTTGAAGTATGAGAAAAAAAAAAAGAAAACTTAAGCATAATATAGGTATACCTACTCTAATATTATTAATTTAAATTGTGTTAATAAAGTTGTTATTATTACTATAGATATAGTGTAGAAAGTGTCCGTCTAAACTTTAATAGTCTCTTGTAATAATATTAACGTCGTAAAAGAATCTCAACTTAAAATTATCAATACAACATCACCCGATAAAAACTTGATAATATTTCCACGCGTAATCAGATTATAGACAAAAAAAAATGTAATTTTTTATTCTTAGTTTAACAGTCGATAATGTCAAATACATAATACGTTTATTATAATATTTCTAATTTAGCTTAGTATACTATAGGTATACCAGTTAACCAGTTCCAAAATTCTAAAAATTAGTTGTTGTTAAGCCCATAATTGACTCGGTCATATTGAAAAGGCCATTTCTCCATAAAATGAAAATGTTCAGGAAACGTAAAAAACTGTTTTTAGAGATCAACATCAAAGTAAGATGAAAACTGAATAAGGGTTGGATTATTTAACTCTCTTATAAAAAAACAAATTTACTATAATATTGATTATTTATATTTATATATTATTTCATATATATATATATTATTTATTTGATTATTTTATGAAGTCATTCCTTCATGAACAATTTTGAGATATGGCCTTTTCTAATGGATTGCAAATTTACACATTGATTATAACCTTGCAAATCTGATAAATTGTACCATATAAAATTTTAAAAAAAAGTGTATAACAAATTTATTATTTTTTAATTCAATACAAAAAGAAATATCACTTCTTTTCAGTACATTTTAAACAAATATATGTATATATATATAGTTTACCTTTTGATTACTAAATATTTAAAAAAAAAAAAAGTATTATTGACAAACAGGTGAACAATAAATCAATTAATAATACAATCTTAACAAATAATATTACCGATAAAGATATTTTGGAGAAATAACCTTTTCGAGCGCACCCATTAAATTTAGACCATAACGAATTGTCGAAGATATAGCGGTCTTGCAAGAAATATGCATTATTATTAGTTTAACACATCTATCACATAAAATTAGTTTTTAAAAAGTATGGAGAAATGGTCTTTTCGAAATGATTGATTCAATTACTATTGTAATACATTTTTTTTTTTACATATTTTTTAGATTCCGAGCGTCGCGATAAACTATTAGTTTTACAATGTTGTTTATTTCTTTATTTCTTTTTTTTCTTCTAGTCTGTAAACTGTTTTTTCCTTGTAAACTTACTCCGATTTTTACCTGTATTAACTTTTCTAAAAGCTCAAGTTGTTTAGGTTGTATTTTAAGTAGGTCATTTTTTTGATTTTTGACACCATTTTTTTCAAATAAAAACACTTAAGTGGGAAAACGTACAATTTCACGATTTCATTATTTTATAAAAACACGGATGTCATTTTTCACCAGAAAAAATGATTTAATCGAAAAATCTCAAGATACCTTTTTTGTTGCCTTTTTGATTTAATTTTGTACAGTATCATCGCCAAAACCTTTAAGCCATTTTTGAGCTTTTAACAATTTTAATTGTTGAGAGTTTTTTCTATAATTCGGTTACGTGTATTCACACGTGAAGATTTGAAACTTGGTAACAATACTTATATTAAACTTACCTAGAGGTGATAAAATTTTCAAAATCATCGGACGACTTTTTTTCCCTTTTTAACAAGCGTTTTGAAATCAATTTTAAATGAAAATCGCAAAAAAATTACGGTACTTCAAAAGATGTATTACCGAACTGCGCTCGGAATCGTCTTTCATCAAGCAATGATTTATCGTTGCTTACAGATATAAAGAAAACCTTCCCAACTTTCCACCTACAATAGTGGCTGCGCCCGTTCCCAGTAACAGCTCTTTTTTTTTTTTTTTTGACATTAGCCCATTTTACATCAAAAACATAGATAACGATCGTAATATACTGTAATATTTACCCTCGGAATTATCGAATCGTTGATGTCCCAGTCGGCGGCGATGCGAGAAATCGCCGATTCTACGGGGGGTCTTCCGCGAGCGTAACCATATTCATTGCTCATGCTTTGATTATCGTATTCTTGTTTGCTATATTTAAAACGCCATAAACAAATAACAATATTATAATTTTTATAAAACTATGAAATAATACAAAATATATTATAATAGCTCTATGTTATTATTATTAATAGGTATATATCGTAAAATAACATGACATAATAAACTTGCGTTTGGTCGAAAATATCGTTCGAATACGTTTTTGTTGTTTAGTCGTAATGATGAATTCGATGTACAACAATAAAAAGACTATTGTCATTAATCGTGACCGAATTAATTTTGTCAACCAATACCTGCTATAATAATATGATACTCGGTGTTATCATGGCGGGAACCTTTGCGAGACTTTTTGCGCAATTTACAGTTTACTTTCTTGTTTTATTAATACTGCGAAACTTAAATATAGACTGATAATATTATAATATAGTTTAGATATTTTTATAATAGAAATTCGGAAGCGGAAAAATAAATCGTCAGTTCTTTTGGTGTGTACTGGTAGGTATGAAAACTCACCAATAAATCTGCAATTCAATCGTGTCGTAGAAAAATGTTCCCAGAAAAAAAAAACGCATTTATAGAAACACAAATCAAATATCTATTTTATAATCGTAAAATTGATGAGGAATAATATAAGACGACGACACGTCATATTAAAATAGCAGTAGGCGTACTGCACCGCAGCTGCAGCATTGTGACACGAGCGGTACACGCTGCAGCAGCAGGCTCAGATCGAACAGGCGAGTATACAGAAAAAATCTCGACATAAAAAACGCATTATTTGATTTAATTAAATTTATGCCGATTTTATTGATTTTTCAATCAAAAATTGATTGAAATTGGTTGAAATTCTAAAACTAGGTGGGTCCGGGACCGGTATTGCGTTCTCTATAGACAACGCTTCGTTTCAATATAATTGCTTGCACAACGAAAATTAGTAAGCACCTATAATAGGAAACTATAAAAGCGGGCAATAGTTACTGAAAATAATTAACTCAATTAGGTAAGTTAAATTAAATAAACAAAACAGCTTTAAGTTAAAAAATAAAAGTTAACGGAAATTAAATGAAACCAGTCACGTTAAATATGCAAACAAAATATATTGATTTATAACTCGGTTAAAAAAAAAAAAGGTTATTTTTGTTTCGCTATTAAAAATTAATATTAAGTAATGCGATTAATGCATGAATGGCTGCAGTATCTATATACAGAACCAATAAAAATTGAATTTTCGAAAAAAAAAAACAAAAACAAAAATCTTCAACTATTTAAATGAGTTAAAGAAAATGTTTATGAAAATTAATTGTAAAAAGTTAAGTTTATACAATAAAAACTTAAACTATAGTTAACTTAGTATATAGTTAGTTAACGATAAAAATAATAAACTAGTCGAGTTATACAGAAGGTTAAATACAAATTTACTTGTTAGCAAATTAATGTCCACCGTTGCTTATGAAATATGTTAATATTTTTTTTTTTTATAATAATAATTATGATTATAAATTTATACCCTAACTGGTCTCTTATAATTGTACTAGACGTACGGCGACATATTTATTTATATATATACAATTAAAAGAGCTGATATATGGTAAGTAAAAAAAAAAAAAAAAAAATTAGGTGGATAGGTAAACCTACCCATCATATTATTGTATAAACGAGAAGGACTACACTGGATGAGTACATTTTACACTTAATACTGATATCTGTAGGTACTTGCTCCTACTTGAACGATAAATTGTTATAATCGATTAAATGTCGAAGTAAAACTATGGTCGAAAAAATTGTAGATATATATTAATAACAATGATGACAATTTTCACACGGTTTTATTATTGTTAATGTTCAAGCTTCGTAATAATATTATAGGTAGGTATACTCACAAAATTACGACCATAATCGGTGTTTCCGCTGGATCCGCGGGTCGGCGGTCTCTCGAATGCAATTATTTATTGTGATGCCGTATATTACAGTGATAGTGCGTCTCGTAATGTAATGAGGAGCGGAAAAAAAAATTAAAAAAAATTTTACGTGCACGATGAGCTATAAAATAATAAACAACGGCCGGGGGCAATAAAAAAGAAAAGAAAAAATACAATTTTTTTTTTTTTATGTTTTCGAATGTATCCGTATAGTAGCGCGGAAAACGATATTTCGTTCGTTTTTATCAGCGGCGGCGGCGGCGACGACGTGAAGTACTTACCCCCAAAAGCCGACGGGTAATCGCGGGATTCGGGTATCGAAATAAATACGTAATATTATTTTGTTCCGCGGGAAACGCGACGGACGACTGAGTAGCGGACGAGCGCCGTGCGAAACAGTCACTGATCCTGTTGCTGACTGCGATCCGAGTCGTACCCGCGGTGTACTTTCGGCGGTTACCGTCGGCGGCGGTGACGACGGGCGGCGGCGGCGGCGACAGCCCTCGGAGTTACGTAGTGTTTGTTGGGCCGAACGCCGTTCGGCCAATGGGAAGCGAGACCGAACCCACTGGATTTTAAAACAGTAGTGGTATTATTATTATTATTATTTGTGTTACGCTCCGTGCGGCGGCCGCCGCTAATCCGTCACCGCCGCCGCCGTTATCGCCGCCGCAGCCGCCGCCGCCGCCGCCGCCGACGACGACAACGGTGCCCGCTCCGAACTACTTTCGTCGACGACGACGCGTCGGGTCCCCGGCGTGTGCGGCGTAATAAAATATCGTAACGATAATAATGATAATGATAATAATAATTAATAATAATATATTGTTGTTTTATTATCGTATATTATCATACGCGCGCGCGCGCGTATGGGAAGTGAACCGAGCACCTACGTCGCGCACGGCGTACCCTTCACCGGCGTAACATTAGAGCGTTATGCCTATACACCGATGTATTGTACACGGATGTATAATATTACTACGATTTCCATTATTATTACAATTGTTGCCGTCGTCGTCTAATTATCGGCTCGAATTCCAAATATAACAATATTATCGCGCACTTTTTCGAAATAAGTTTGATCGTATTGTTATTATTATTATTATTATGTCCAATAATTGAGAAAACGAATATGTTTCGACTTTCCGCGAGACGATCGTTTACATTTTCAACCGCGCAATCGAAACAAATTTCGGAACTCGCGTCGTATGCTATCTACACTAACGTTAATCGCGTTGCATGTTATATGTACGTCTCGGACGATAAATGTGGGTGGAACATTGACGGTGTGCTCTTATGTTGTAGGTATAGTTATGTACACGGTACCGACCAAACACGATTTCTGGATAAACTGGTCTGACCTTTGCGCAAAATGTGTTTAGCCTTTGAAACACCGATGTACACATACACGTGTATAAATTGTGTGGTCTAACCCAGAGGTCTTCGACCTTTTTATGTGGCGGGCCACATATTATTTTCTATAAATCTTGCGGGCCGCATCCGTAGGTTGTAAACATGTGCATTTTATACAAAAATTCAAATTTATTATTATTAAAACATATATCGATTAACATATTTCAATTTTGTATTACAAATTATTTATTTTATATTTAGTGTGATAACTGATAACTTTTTCACTAATATTTCTGTATTTGGATGGATCTGAGACGATTATCAGAGAGTTTTCTGAATGTATGTCAGTTAACCGAGCTCTAATTTTCGATATGACAATTTTCATTCGTGAAAATATATGCTCACAAGTGTAAATACAATCAAAAAAGAGTAGGTAATTCAATTTATCGTATATTTCCCAATTCTATCGATAGCGATGGCTTATGGCCGTTCTAATTTTATCGAAATTGAAAAGACATGCTGTATTTCAAATGTAATCGTGGGCCGAAAATAATTTCAAGGGGGAGACATTTAGACAATTAGAGTTTAACCAGTAACCGATACGGAACATTAAATCTTCTCCATTCGGGGGAGGGGGGTTACATTAATAATAAGATTTAAAAGTCGTTTTCAGACGTCAAATAAAAAAAAAAAAATAAAAAAAAATCAAAGGGATGGAGTAGATTGCGGTTACGGTAGATATGTTTTCAGTGTACATAGCATACGACGTGAGTTCCCGAATTTCGATACACAACATTATTTTAAATAGATAAATGCGTATTAACATCGCGGCATATGTCTGGGGGTGCTTAACATCCGTATATCTAAAATTAGTACCTTCAGTAGCTTTAGAGCTAAATAAAATAAACATAATACTCAAATAGAACTCAGACATGAGATAAGTAATTACTATCATTATACTATTTTGTATTGATTTATGTTAAACATAATATATTAATAATTAATATTATATAGCATTTATATTATATTACTATGTAAGTTTATGTTAATTGTTTTCATATTATTATTTTTTAAGGAGGTATCTATCGCTTGTTGGTTATTTATCAGGCAATTAAAGATTTATTATTGAAAATCGGATTTCATTGTTTTAATTTTGTTTATTTAATGTGTAAGTAATATGCAATTTTATTTCGAAATATCGAATAGATTGGGAAGGGTGGGGGCAAAGCCCCCCCCGTGATACCCTATCGTAAATAATTATAGCACTCCTAAGTTTTAGATTAGATGTGCGCCAATACATTGCGGTGTTCATTTTAAGCGGATAAATGTATTATACAATGCAATATTTGACAAAACTGATACATTCGAATTCGGACAGTGGTAATAATTTAGCTACTAAATAATAATACGGCTATAAACTACTTGTACGGCAATGCCAAGATAATATAACATAATTTCCATTTATAATAAGTCAATTCTATCATCACTCAACAATTTAAAAAAATATATATATACATAGAGTTTTGGTCGAGTTTGTTTAAATTATTAATTATTATTTTACGGTAAATTTAAATTTAATAATGGCTACCTCCTATTAAAACGCCTTTAAGCCAACAATTTAGTTTACTACACTTAAATGACTTAAATTCGAAAATCTTAAAATTAATTTCATTTAAAATATAGTTTTGATAAAGTTCAGAAAAATGTCCAACTATACATGTCCAACATGATTACCAACTAAACATTTTTAAATTTTCAAAATAATTACTATGTAATAACCTGAAATTTAAAATCAACAAAATATAATTTCAAATTTTAATGATAAGGTATCGTTTACTGTTTTTAAAGTATACTTATATATTTATGTTTCGTTTAAAATGGGTACAATAAATCAAATAGGGAAGGGCTATTGTCGGTTTTGGATGTAACTTTCGACAAAGTATTGGCACGGTTCCGATAACTTTGGTGATTACAAATAATGGAGTTATTCGATAAGACTTATCGATTAGAAAAAAATGTCCTTTTCGGAAAATTGATTATACCTTGCATAGTTTTTCAGATGTGTCCGAAAATAATAAAAATGTTTTATGATAGGTAACGCGTTTAATCTTTCGTAACATATTGCGCATGAAAGAAAATTCTAACCGACGTGGTTTTGTAAAACAAATTGGGGTTTATTTTCGATTAATTTTCTCCATTGGATTGCTTTGCTTCGCTTAGCAGACGAATCAATTTTATAATTAAATATAATATAGTATTCACTATTTAAACAGTACAATTTAAATATACAGGTACAGAAATACAATTGACGTCAACATACAAAACACAATAAATAAAAGATGTTAATTCAAAATGTAAACACAAGTGTACATCATAAGTATACATGTACAGTACGATATATATATATATGTATAATTATCAACTGTCAAGGTAATACCCAGAGTTGTTTTCGTAAAAAAAACTATAGAATATACGTTCATTTAAGAGTATAAGCATCGAATATTGTGATTTTATAAGTACAAAACTTATCAGATTCAATAATTCAATAAGCCGCTCGTGTAAAACTATTTTACAAGACTTAAACAAACTAATTATAAAGTAAATTCACAAATTCACAAACTTAAAAAAATACAATTTTTTTTTTACTGAGTTGTGTACACTTTAGATTCTGAGTGAAGCGAGGAATGTATATTTAATGTATATTGGTTTTACAACTATGTTTATTTATTTTGTATACGGTTTACGAAAATTCTACCAGAAATCTTGCTCCAATTTTAAATTGTGGCACCTTTTCTGAAACGAAATTTTTTTGGAGTGGTACTTTAAGCAGGCTATTTTTTGATTTTCCAAGCAGTTTTCAAAATAATTAGAAAATAAATTAGGAAAATGGAAAAATTTATGAAAACAATGCTTTTATTATTTTCAATTTTGTTTTTTTGTTGTAATTCAGTTTGAATGTTCATAGAGACTTGAAATTTAGACAGAAACCTTATATTTGTCAAATTATACATAATTTGAAGTGCCGTAATTTTTTTTGCGATTTTTGTTTAAAATTGATTTCAAAACGCTTATTAAAAGTTAATACAGGTAAAAATCGGAGTAAGTTTATAAGGAAAAAACGTGTCCACAGACTAAAAGAAAAAAAAAAGAGAAAGAAATAAACAGCATTGTAAAACTAATAATTCCCTCACTACGTTTGGAATCTAATGTCAATTACGGAAATGTCTACCGATTGTATTATTATTAACATTATTTAATTTGTAACTAATTAACCGAGATATCAATATCTCGAAAACTATCAGACATACTGATTTTACGTTGGGGACTTTTCCTATTCGGTGAGCTTTATCTAAAAACATCATAATTCTTTAGTCTTCAACAATTTTGGAACCGAACCCTTTGGTTATAATCACTACATCATAATATAATAATCAAATATTATAATCAAAATAAAAAAAAAAAATTAAGTTTTGATTTTATCGTTGTTAAAAACATATTTAAATCAAGTAATTTTAAAATATTGTAAATAAATATTTACTTATACATAGATATACTATTTTACCTAAAATGATTGGCTTGACAAATTTGGTAAATAAATACACAGCTTGACAGATAATAGTAAATGTATGGATTTATTGATATAATATTGTATAAGAGGTGTATACAATGTTAATATTATGCCTAAAATGTATACATTTGTATTATACCGAAGAAGGGAAATTACGTTTATAACTTTGGTCAATAATGAAATATTGTAATCTAATATCTGTAAATAAATTTTTTGACCAAGAAAATAATATAATATAAAACAATATTGTTTAAACAATGTACCGCCAGCCGAAAAA